GAGCTGTGCTAGGGTTTCGTATTTGCTTGGTTGGGATATAAAATGTCTGTTTTACCCCTTTCTTTGATTTATGCTAGTTATCTATAGGGTTGGACAAATCTTCCGAACCGAACTGATCCGAACCTCCCGAACCGAACCCGAACCGAACCGAACCGATCCGAACCCGACGGTTCTTGTCAAATTAAATATCCGAACGGGTATCTGAATTGAGAACCGACGGGTACGGTTCGGTTCTCGGTTCTAGACCAAGAACCGAAGAACCGAATAAGAACCGAATGTTTCTAATTTTTTTTATATTGAGTAATCAAATTATTTTAATTTTAATTTTTTCTAAACAAATTAACAAATTAATGATTTCTAAATCCAAATTTTTGGCCCAATAATTTGTTTCATTTCTAATTTTTTAATTTTTGGCCCAATTACCCATTTTATTGTTTCATTTCTTAGCCAAACAAGATCAAATCCACTAAATAACTCTAATCACCTATAATAAAGTGCATAACGTTGTCTCGACTCTCGCACTCACTCTTGCAGTCTATCTAATATTCCAAAACTTATACAATCGTCGGCCGACACTCTGACCTCCGATCGAAGCCGTGACTTTCCCCGACTGAAGCTTTGATCGTAGCGATCATTTGAACAAGGTAGTTTACTAATCTCTGACATTCCAAAACTATTAAATGTATCATTAGTCGTATTTATATAACGTTGTTATAAATGTTAAAAAATTTAATTATGGTACAGAACCGAACAGAACCGAACCGATCCGAACCGAACCCGAACGGTTCTATAATTATATTTGGACCCGACGGTTCCATTTACTAGATACCCGAAAAGTTTGGTTCGGTTCGGTTCTCTTTAGAACCGAACCGAACCGACCCGCGCCCACCCCTAGTTATCTCCAACAACTAGATTTATTGTCAAGGTAGATTTTATTTATTTATTTTTAAATGGGTGAATAAAATGTAATTAAAAGTTATTTATCTACATAAAAAATTATTTTATTGAAAGAATGTATAATTAAAAATTAAATTTGTAAAAATATAAGTTTAGAAAACAAAAACCAAACAGACCATAAAATTTTACAGTTGGACAAGGTTTCCAAGACGTGACACAAAATTCGGTTATTCTAAACAATTAACCTCTCTTTAGGTTCTGTTTTTTTTTTTTTAAATAGTATTTACCTTATCGTGCGTATTGTTTGGGAGATTTTTGAAGGCAAAATTTTTGTCATTAAGAATTGATTTTTTTTTTATTTTTTTTTCTGAGAACTCATTTGAAATTTCACACAAGTTTTATTGTAAAATTTAATAATTGTCTAACGCACTCTAAATTGATATTATAGACTAGTAATGTGTTAATGAGAAAATCGAAAAATAAAATAAACCCAGACTTCATAGTATAAATATTAGCGTTTTACTTATAATTAAACTTATAAGTTCGTTTTATAAGCCTTTGCTGATCTGTGATAAGATTATTAGTCTTAACAATAGAAGAAAAATAAATTCAATCCAGCCATGAAATAATTAAAATTCCAACTTATGACATGATTATAGCAAAATATCCAATAAAAATCTTCGTGTCACTTTCAAGTCATATCTCTCAACATAATTCTCATGCTATATGATAACTGTTATGATATATGATCGATCATCAGATGACAACAGTTACAACTGGCTCGACCGCCGTCTCAAACTAGTATTAATCTGAAAAATTAGTAATATGTCACAAGAATATGGAGGGAAGGAATAGTAATCTCAATAGGGCTTTAAGAATCTGGAAATTAGTATGTAAAAGAAACTCATCAGAAGTGAAGTGACAAACAAAAACTACACAATTTGAAAGTAGTTCGATCGTTTGAATGCCTAAGTTTCAAAATCTCGATCAAAATCAAAACAATATACAATAACGATGAAACTTTTTGTAGCTAAGAGGACATACCAGATAGAACTCAGCAACTTTCTAATTAACCAGAACAGCCACAATGTGCATACATCA